CAATTACATGGATTTGATCTTGAGTGCTTGCTTTTTTCAATGGATTATGAGTGAAAAAAGGAGATGCAATTTTTAAATGAAAAAAAAATGGAAATCTACAAAGCCTATATCTTCAGAAAAGTTCGAACTCATTGATAGTGGGGATGGCCGATTCAAAAAATCCCCTAACCCAAATCTTCTAATGTTTGGTGAGGAGAATATCCTTTCTTGGCCTAATGATATCATGCCACTTATTTAGTTGATAGTGGGTAAAGAAATAACCACTAATACTGAGGCCATGTTTGGTTCAATGCTCTAGTCATCATTCTTTTAATTCTTGCTCATTCTAGACAAGAATGAATAACATTAGAGTGTTTGGTTACAAAATTCTTGCCAAGGGCCACGTTCTTTTTAGAATGAAAAATTAGTTCAATAGCACAAAAATTGAGTAGCTTGCAGCATGAAAAATAATCATGCCCCATCTTACTCATTTCATTCTTTGAGGAAACTTTGCCTACAAAACTCTTGCCATAGATGTTTACTTTTGTAAAAGCACTTTTGCAAAAATACTTTTACGAAAACACTTTTGTAAAAGTATTTTTACATGAAAGCATTTTTATGAAAGTACTTTTATAAAAACACTTTTATGAAATGGAAGTACTTTTATGAAAGTACTTTCATAAAAGCACTTTTATGGAAGTACTTTTATATTAGTACTTTCACAAAAGCACTTTTACAAAAGTACGTTACTAAAGCACTTTTACGAAAGTACTTTTATAAAAGCACGTTTACAAAAGTACTTTTATAAAAGAACTTTTACAAAAGCACTTTTATAAAAGAACTTCTACAAAAGCACTTTTATAAAAGAACTTTTACAAAAACACTTTTATAAAACCAGTTTTATAGAAGCACTTTTACGAATGTACTTTTATAAAAGCACTTTTATGAAAGCTCTTTTATGGAAGCACTTTTACGGAAGTACTTTTACAAAAGCACTTTTAAGAAAGTACTTTTACAAAAGCATTTTTACAAAAGTACTTTTACGAAAGTAATTTTACAAAACATTTATGTCAACTGGTAAACATTGACTATTGGAGACCTAGGACACTTGTGAGTCCGAAAAGAATTCATTTTTAGGAAAGAAGTATTTGGTTCATAGCAATATTTTCTCATTCTTCCTATTTTTATCCATTCTTTTCCATTTTAGAATTTCATCTTGGATAAGAATGAAAAAGAATGAGTATTGAACCAAACATGGCTTGAGATGATGCAAGCCGAACTATGGGCAATTTTTGGAAACCAAATTGGTACCGTCAGTTCTTAAAAAATTGTGAACTGAAACAAAATGATCAATCGGTCCATCAATTCAATTTTTTTTATATTTATAGACTATATTATAAATAAATATATAATATATGTATAAATAATGCATATAAGTTTAAATATAATATATAGATAACATAATATATATGTATATTAAAATATATATATACCAGTTGGTTCATTTAATTTGATTTTTGGTTCAGCTTGGTTTTGCAGTTTTTATTCAGCACCCTTGATCAAAACATTTTGTGAATTTTGATGAATATCACCTTAAATGAATTGGCATGATACAATTAAGCCAATAGTGGATCATCTCCTCACTAGCTAATAGAGGATTTGGAGATAAAAGTTCCTTGTTCGAAAGACTAATCCAATAGACCATATCTATCTCCCATGTGGCGAAAATAGGTAGGGAAAGGAGTTGGCCCATCTAAGATATGTTTTTCCTTCATTTACTTGAATAACTAGGAGTTATATCTTAAATATAAGACTTCATGAGAAGGATTTAAATAAGGAGAAAAGTGATTGTTCAAATGACATTTTTGTCCTTATAATGAACGGGGGACCAAATGAAAAAATTGTGGTATTTTAGTCAAACATAAAATTCCACTCATTCACACTTTTGATAGTAGCATAGATGGGGTCTTAAATTTTCTATTCATAAATGTTGTTCATTTGGTTTACTATACAAATTTGCCCCCAAGGTAGCTCAAAATCAAAGGGTAAACTTTGTCCAACTAAAATTCCAAAAAATAAGACTCATACACACTTTTACAAGTAGTATAGATTTGGGCTTTTTTTTTTTTTTATTTGTGAGAACTTTATGAATGTTGTGGCTTGAATGTATGGAAGAACTTGCCTATTACTCGCCTACAATTTCATGTCACCTGTTAATTGGCATAGTCTTCTTCTACCACAATGTTAATCTATTTGACTATTTCAAAAAGGCAATATCTAGTTACATAACTAATCAATCAAAATTTCCCCTTGAATTCCTACATGTGACATGTTGCCCAACCCAACTAGATTTGATTTTACAAGTTCATCCTTTAAAAACTTAGTTGTTTAGGTTACCCATAATACTTTGGTTGAACCCAATCATGTTTGAACTAAATTCAGGGTACTTCAACATATGCCAAAATTGCACTTAGAAGCTGCTTTTCATGAGTTGGGATCTCCTCTCTACAAAAGAAGATCTTAACACGATTCCAACATGATCTATGTTTGTACATCTCACCGTAAGATTGGGACCAGCATGCATGAGACGCGTAGACACATATCATGTTGGGGCAGTTTTATTTTTGTTAGGAGGAGATCCATGCTCGGTTTTCACCATGCAAGTTTACAAGATGATTTGTACACATCCTGTCTTAGTCAGTAGCCATTGGAAATTTGGATTTTGGAAAAAAACAATTCTTAAACGTGAGGTGGGCCATCAAAAGTACATGATAATACATATGAACTAGGCATAGTTTCAACTCATATTTTGAAAACCAAGCTTGATACATCAAATCGGAAAGGGCTCTGGTTCACGGTTTGGCCAATTCAACTGAATTCTTTTATTCCCCGTTCATTTAGTGGTAAGTTTGGAGGACATTGATCAATTTTTTCGTGTTCTTTTACTAGTAAATGCTTAATTCATGGAAACAAAACTTTCTCCTATATAATTGTTTAGGCAACTTACTCGTGAAAGTTTTATTTTCCTCATAGATGACCCATAGAGGGGAAATTTGGCCAAATTATGTAGAATTAAAATGCCCTTGCCATCATATAAAAATTAGGGGTCTTTTATAAAATTCTCTCACTTATCCGACTAATAATTTCTAAAAGATAATACAAATAAATGTATTTATCCGGATAACACTTAACTGTACATTACATATTTAGGTAATTGCATTTACCCAAATAAGTAATTTACCACCAAACAAAAAAGCCTTAGTTCAATAAGTATAGTGTTTGGCTGTATTCCAGCATTTGATTTTTACATTTTTAGAAATTATAAAGTAATCATGTTCTAGCTGAACCTGATTCAACCTGCCAATTATATTCAAATATTTGGTTACATCCAAGCCAATACGAGTGATATCTAGGGAGCCAAGCTAAATCCAAATTGGCTTGTCACGGGTAAAACCAACTAAAATACGAGTGATATCCAATCCAAATTGATTGGATTGCTCATTCTTGGCATGTTAGCAACACGCTTATGCTTTTAGTTGACCTGGGCTCAAAAGATCGATTAGGGTCACCAACCCTTATCATTAGTCACAGGTCAAAAGGCCTACTTTATGTAGTGTTTTCAACCTAACATTGACCTATTCGTTTGAACCGTTTAAATCATTACCTGGTCATGATTTCGAGTTTGGTTTTAGTAAAACCTGCCATTTGGTCAAAACTATCTGACCTGAGCAATTAGAACGTTGACCTATTTGACCCAGTGACCAAGTCCTAAGTTGTACACCAAATGTGTATGCAAACTTATGGAGGCCATAACTTTGTGCTTCGATGTCTGATTGGGATGATCTTTTTTGGGTAACTTTCCAAGATCTATACATTCCAATGTGACATAGGCACATTGCCCCACTAATTTTGCGAAAACCCCCTTTTTTGGCCTAAAATTACAATTTTTTACAAATAAAAAATAAAAAACGAATAAAAATACAAATTAAATATTATATTATATCTATAAAAAGGATTATATATTTTTTATTTATAATATACATACATACATACATTTTACTGACATGACATGGCCTAATCCATTGGACCCAAATGGTCGAATAATTTCACAACCTAGAGGCAAAAACGGTTTGGCCTTCAGATCGATTTTTAAGATATTTAAGTTTATGAGATGGACGAATTTATAAAAATCGCTATATATAATGCAAATGCAATACATATACAATAAATTGTTGCAGTGTTGCTTACATATATATATATATAATTGGGTGCCATATATTAGGTAGGGATGGAAAATTTCCCCATCCCCAATGGGGGCTCGACTTCCACAACCCAATGGGGTCGGGGATGGGGATTATTTTGGCGAGACAGGGATTAATAGGAATCCCTGATTGGGGTCAGGGTCGGGGATGGGGATTGAGGTCCCTGCCCTACCTCGACCCCGATTAAATGTTATTTATATTAATATATTATTATATTACTTCTATAATTCAAAATATATTTAAAACATTATGTATAATTAAATTTTTTCATTTATTTTAAATAAATTTATTAAAGAAAAATTCTATTATCTAAAAAATTTCAGAGATTCGGGTCTCCACAGGAAATCCATCCCCATCGGGGATTGGGAATAGAGGACAACTTTTATCCCGACAAGCATCCGAGATAGAAATGGGAGTTAATTACAAAATCGGGTTGGGGACAGGGAATATGATCCCCGCCCCCAACCCGCCCCTTGTTGCCGTTCCTAATATTAGGGAAAATTCCTTTGTATTTGTAGTTTTATGCGAGTGCTGATTGCTGAACCTAAAACATGTTTTTCTTTATCTAAAAAATTAGAGAAAAATCAGCTACTCCTATTGGCGTAGACTTGTAGAACCGTGAATCACTATCCTTGATGGATTGCTGCGGCCCCATGTTGAAATGGATGAAGTGACGATAAGGTGGGGCATCATATGAACGTTTTGAGTCCGGATATGCACATGACGAGGGGCGCCTCACACTATCCTCACGATGGATGGTTGTGCCACGCGTTCAAAACATTCACCTCTGCATCTATTCTTTTCAGGCCAGGAGGCCCAGGACCGAAGCCTTAAGTTCCCTCTCTCCACCGGTTGCAATCACATCTCCGGTCGTCACCGATAAGACGAGACTCTGATTATTCTGCTTTTTTTTTTCCTGCCCAAACCTCTCATCCTTATTTTCTTTTTTCTCTTAATAAAACATAAACCTTCTTTTCTCTTCGGGTCAGGATCCAAATCTCTTCTCTCTCTGGCGGGGATTAATCTCATCGGTGAGAATAGATAGTGGCGACTCAAATCCAGGTAAATCGCTCCCAAAATCTTAAGAACAAAAGGTTGTTGAGAAATTTGTTTTCATGCTAGGGTTCTTTGTTTTTCTCTTTTTCAGTTGCAGAACACTCCCACCGACGACCATTGCCAGGAAATTAGTATCATGGGAAACAACGGCCAGTTTTAGGTATTTTTCTTCCTCCAACCTAGTTCGAATGAATGTAGTGCTTTCTAGTTCGAACCGGAGCATATAGAGGCCAGTTCCAAGTCTGTATTTCAGCTTTTATTTAGGGCGGTTCATGCCAACGATGTTTGCTCTGAATTCACATCTGTGCCCTATAAAACACGTGATGGGATCTGCTCCTAACAAATGAACGCCTTAAAGATGTTTTCATGATAAGATATGCGTGTGAGGAGCGGATCGGTCTCATAAAATACACCTCACAATGTTTTAGAATATTCCAACCATGTATTCAGAACATCTTCAACTGACAACTTTGAGAGTACATGCTGAGATGTGTTTGTGGGACGCAGATGTTATATCGTTTGCTCCGTGTTTTACTTCTACACAAATCTGGGGCCGCGTCACGCGTGGTGCAACCGACCGTTGTGCGGACGGTTTGAGGCGCCCCCTTGTGAGGAGCAGATCCGAACTCGAACGTTTTGTCTATCATGACACCGAAGTCCTTTTCTAACTAATAACTTCCCTACTGGTGTTCCAAAATTTCGTTCTCACTCCTTTACCCGAGGAAAAAAGAGTTAATACTTTGCTTGATTGAAATCAAACACTGGTGGCAGTTTAGCAATCTGGACGTCTGTCATGTTCTCCAATTTTGCAGGTTTTTAAACGCTAATTTTCCCTTTAATGGAGGTAAAGCTAACCCTAGACAATCTTTGAAGACGCAGAGATCGATTTCGATCGCGAGATTCATCCATCGAACCGGGGAAAACAAAATGCTTGGTGATGGGGGAGAAACCCCTTCTAGGTATAAAATATCAACCTTTTTTCTGTTCTCTAATCATGAATATGATATATTTCTAGAGCTTACTGACTTGAAGAGTTAATTTGCCGCAGTACTGACGGATTTGTTCTATTATTGTATATGCCCGCAATTGTGTGCATGCTAGTAGCAAAATTATGATTTGTATATATATATATATATATATATATATTATTGCTGGTTGACTATCTCGTTATCTTTCCTTCGTACTGTTGGCGGACAAATTTGCATTCGAAACTTTTCAACCAGGAAAATTCTGCACATAGGTAAATCTTGGTAGTGTTGTTCTTTCTTTTACCAAACCGTTCGTTTGGCAGGTATGAATTATTGAGCATGGTGAGGAAGCACTCAAACTTGTTAGGAAAAACGTCAGTTGATGAAGACGATGGTACAGATATTGAAATGGATGCTGGCTTTTGGCATGATTTCTTGGACTTGTATTTTATTCGTAGTCGGGAATCAAGGGGGCGTCAAGATGATGATCTTGTTTTTTTTGTTAGGAAAATGGTATGGCGTTTAATGTATCTACATTATGTATTGGTCTATCAGTTTTCTCTTAACCTTTTGTTGCCAAAAATGCTTTGAGACCAACTCCCTGTATGTTGTTGCAGAACTTGCATGGATATGGTTTCAATGATAATATGGAAGAACTTCCTCCTTATTTCGTACGCAGGTGGGCACCTAAGGTAAAGCGACATGAGGTCCAGTTTCAACTTCACAGATTTGATATCCATGATTCTTAATCCTTATATTGCAATCATAATTTAACAATGGATATGGGGATTACACCCCATAAGCAAAAGTATTGTAGCTCATACTATAGCAAATAAGAATGGACGTCAGGGATTGTTTTTAAAGATACCCTGCCAGCCTGGCTCAGGGAATACTTTTTTAGCCATAGTCATGCTTGGTGTTGTAAATTGCATCTATATAAGTATAATATTATTTTCTCTTTTGCGGAAAAAGAAATTAGTGCAAAGGCTTCCAAACACCTGAAGCACAAGGTGCAAGGGCAGAGTAGTGTTATCAATTTGGTTAAGCAATGACTAGTTGATGATAAAGAGATAATTTCTATATTTAAGATATTTATGCAATCTCATAAATAAGTTAATGTAGACTACAACTATTCAAGAAAAGAATGATATTGAACAGTTAGTTTACAGTCTTTTTTTTTTTTTTTGGTAAAAAGTTAGGCTGGACATGCTAGGGTACGGAAACACAAGCTTCATTTTCCAGAGAGTGCGATCTTGATGTTGACTATTAGATGTGCCCTTCACTTGTAGCAACTCCATACCAACACACAAGTGATATTGGAAGAAATTTTAATAAGAACTCCTTCATTACTCTTTTTAATTTTATGTTTTTTTTTTCAGTTTTATTTACCATCATCAGATCATCTAATCATATTCCATCATAAATATTTAAAGCCACAACATGAATGTAACAAAAATGCAAATATATTATATATTATTTCAAATAATTAGAGATACAAGTAAACAAATGAATCTTTAAAATGATTGTGGTTGACTAAGTTGACTAGTCATAACTCACTAATTGATGCTATTATGAATATCAACCAACTAGTTAGCGATGTAGTGCGTTTGGCCCTCAACTAACTAGTTGGTCGACTAGTCAATGAAGCATGATTTTGAAATAAAACAAAATAAAAAAAACTTGATTTACAAGAACATGTAAATCCACATTCTAAATCGAATAAAAGGCACATAAACCTTGTAGAGAAGATGGGCCGAATGGCCCATAGGCTGCTTATCCTTCTTTATTTTTTATGTTCTTTGCTGTATTGGGCCTTAATCTGGGCCTTATTCT